GCCCTAGTAGCCCAAAGTTCGTCTAACTGTGAGTCGAATGATGCTTGAATATCATGTGTGTAGCTGTGTTGGCATCACTGGCCAACCTTGCAGCCCGAAGAGCGTCTAGCTGTTAGGCGAATGATGCTGGAATATCAGGTGTGTAACTGTGTTGGCATCGCGCCAACATTTGTTCAGCCGTTGGACATAATTAATTGGTCTGTGACGCTGACGTGGTCCGGTTTCAGCGAGCAGCTTAGACTAAAAATAATGTCCTAGGAGAACTGATGTTAACAGGTAAGGCAAATATGTTTTGCAACTTTTAAACTACGCAGGCGTAGGTGGCGCGGCATTCTGATCTTTTAAATGTGATGCAACTTTTCGTAAAGGGAAACCATTTATTTGATAGAAGTTTTTAGGAGATGTACTTATCCCTTGATTAAAAAAAAACAGGAGAGTAGCAATTCAAACAATGAACTTGAAATTCTTACGGAGTTATTCCACTTTATTTTTATTTTTCTAGAATATATGAAACAATGTATTCGGTATAATAATGGTAGGCCATTTGCAATAATTTGTAACAGCTCAAACTCATTGAAATTCCTAACTTTAAAAAGAAGTATCTATGTAATGATGTTTACGTTTCTAACATCATTAAGTTTTGAGAAGTATTTATCTGCTATATGTTATATGCCTATTCTTACACCCTTTCATGCCCCTTAACTACATTTTTTCTCTTTAAACATGACCTTAAATTACCTAATCTAAATTATCACTAATCATATCACCATTATCACTGAAGAAGTTAACTGACGGACGATTTCTCCGCTAGAGAAATACTTTAGATGTTTCGCCTACCTTACCCTTTTCGGGCCTTTGAACTTAGTGGCGTAGCTATATGGGGAGGGGGGTGCGGACTGCACCGGTGTCAGCATCTCAGGGGGTAAGACCAAATTGAAAAATTGCATATTCACAGAGCACACATTTTCATAAGAGAATAAGCCAATCACACAGAAATTGTCCACACATGTCACCAATCCCAATGCGTGCATTATTAAAAGTTATATGTTGATGCGTCAGAAATGAGGTGACCCTATAAATAGGTCAGAAAAACACCGTTTAAAAATAACTTTTTATCAATTTATAAAGTTAACCAGTGACATAGCTGGGGGGGTGCGGACCACAATTGGTGACACCATCCGAGGAGGTGACACCAAATTGAAAATTGTATATTTACAGAGCACACACTGTTCGGTCTAACGGAATTTCATAAAAGGAGAACCGATCACACTTAAATTTTCCACACGTGTAACTAATCCCAATGAAGCGTCAGAAACACCTTTTTGACCATTATTCAACGCCGATTGAAGTGTTCAATAACTTTCATAAATGACAAGAAGCAATATTTATCTAAATTCTCAGAAATAAAGCTTTCCACTTAAAACATATATGATATGGTCGGACAATTTTTAGTAAATGAATCGAAACGGTAAAAATTAAAACATGAAAAATGAAATTTTGCCAATTTTTAGGGTCAACAATATAATATTTTACAAAATTTTCTAATATATTTTAATAATTAATTTTACTTTATTTAAAATTTATTTAAATTACAGAAAAATTTTTTTTTAAACGAAATCTATCGAAACCCAGAAATACACAAAAAATAAATATTTTCGCCGATTCTTCACTAGCACCACTTCTTAACATTAGAGCACGATTGTTTAATACATGCTCTCCGTGATTTCACGTTTATCTGCTACCTTTGCCGTTGGGATGATCTACTTGAGGAAGTTAATCCTAAACAGAATCATCTGCAGACTGTTTCTGCACGAGAAGCGCTTTCACTTTGTGTAACATGCTATTGAAAATGTACTTTTAAAATCAGACCCATATGGAAATTCGGTAGAGAGAACACAAACGGTTTAAGAAGAGAATGAAAGGAGAACAATTAATAGATGCTGGACTCTCTCTGTGAGCGAAAAGAGAAGGGAGATGCGGGTGTACATTGCTCGCTTTCATTCTGAAATGCAGATCAAATCATCAGTGATCAAAGAAGCAGCAGAAATGTTTGGGGCTGTTCAACTCAAGAGTCTATCAGCAAGTGAAGAAGAGTTATTGGTGTCCGTTCCAAAATTAACCTCTTTCCGCGATTAGTTATCAGACGATGAACTTTTAAGATACATACCTAGGCTTGGAAGACACCTAAAGGAAGCTGATACTGCATGTCAAAAATTCAAAGACTGGTCAGGATTTGATGTTTTGAGATTCTTAGCTGAATGGGACTTCCTAGAATCTATTCCAATGCTCTCGCTAAGTCTTCTATTTTATTCTTCTTCTATATCAAGGGCCCTCGATCAATTTAATGATCTGTGGCTTCATGTGAGTGGAGCTTTTCAAAACTAAAGCTTTTTAAGATCCACCATGGGATAGTCAAGGCTTTCTGATCTGGCTCTACTCTCAATTGAAAGTCATACGGAGAAGGATATTGAATTTGATCAAGTGATTGACAGATTTACAGCCTTGAAGACCAGGAAATGAAAATGTTTAATAAACTAAATTTAATATAAAAGTAACAATAACTTAATGTTGTTACTTCTTCTTCTTCTATATTTTGAGGAACCATGATACTTATGCATTGATCATTCTGGCTCCTTTAAATGTTCTTAAATACATTTACCTCCTGACCTTCAATTAATTTGTTTTTGTTCTTGTCATTGTTATACTGTGGACTTATTTTAACAATAACAAATCCATCTTGGAAGTCGGGGGAGGGGGGGGTGTGACACCATGAGTTTACCGCACCGGGTCACAACGACCCTAGCAACGCCACTGCCTTGATCTAAAAATGTTTCTTCTAAATATTGTGAAAACATAATCTGAAATTGATAAGAAAAAGTCTATACATGATATAGATATTTTTAGATTAACGGAATTCGATATATTAATATTATCATCAAAAATTTAAACCACATTTTGACTTATTATTTTAAATTATGCATTATCGGAAAATAGTAAAACAAAGAATTCTTTTATCTAAAGAAGAATCTCGCAACCATTTTTACGTCCATGACAGACTTGGGTGTCTTTTTGTTTAAAAAAAAAATATTTTAATCTCATAAAAATACACACCCACTTTACTATTGGCAAAGTAAAAACAAAAATGTATTTTAATTTTTGGAAGAAAAAAAAAATTAACCCATCTCTATTTTTCGAAATTAAATTTTCAAGTGCGTAAAAATGATTGGGTTTTAATATTCCTAGGTATACTTATGTAAATATACCCACTGGAACAATCACAATTTCTTGTAAATCACAACAGAGGCGATGTGGCCCAAAACATTGACTGACCTTTTATTATACATAATCACAATAAATCGTCAATACGAAATAGGTCTACATCTCATGTCGAGCATACTAATACTTGGCACTAATATCATATCAATCTCAATACTTTAATTACTTCAATCTATCTCAAACAAATTATATGACTCGACTGTCATATTATGCAACCTCCATTTCTTCTTGCAAGTTTTTTCTAAGTCCCAATACTCTGTATATTACATAAGTAATAACTCCCTATTACTTATCTCCCATATATTCATATCAGTGACACCCACGTTTTGTTAACGCCCTTGATTTTCTTAATGGGTAAACATACGTTTGTTTGTAAAAAGAGACTGTAACATCTCCAAGGTCAAGGTCAATGTCCATGGATTTGAGGAACACTTTTAGATGGTCCTTAAGGCGGTTTTTTTCCCCCTGCCCATCAGCTGAGCGTTTCCCCACCGATACCTCAGATCAGCATGACGGCTGATTGCAACGCTAAAGAAAAACGTTTGACGTCTTGTGTTTAAATTGTTGTTATTGTGAAATGCTGTCTTGGTTTAAAACATGTATTTATCTATGTGCTGAAAGTGGATATGTACATTGTATTAAAAACACGTTTTCTTTTATTTGGATCAATAAAGCATCTTATCTTATCTTATAAGCATAATTCATGCTTTTTGTCCTATTTTATGGACTATTCAAATAAACATTATATATATAACTATTATAATAGGCCTTTTTTTTTAGTAGTTACCAGATATTTGCAGAATTAATGATCTGTCAACTGTCAAAATAAATTTATCCTCATCATCCTCATGTCCCTTTGTCCTTGGACCGTTGGAACGACACAGATGACACGTGAACTATACTCCTCCATTCGTATCTGTCTTCTGCACTACGCACAGCATCGCCCAGTGTTAGTCCTGTCCACTCTTTGATGTTACCCTCCCATCTTTTCCTTTGTCTTCCTCTTCTTCTCCCTCCTCTTGTGGTGCCCTGCAATATTTCTTTGGTAAGCCCCTGTTTCCTTGTTACGTGGCCGTACCATTGTTGTTTTGAGTTTTTTCACAGTCACCAGTAGGTCATCGTACTCCCCAATTGTCTGGCGAACCCTTTCTTTCACAGTATCATTGGAGATATGGTCCCTATAACAGATGCCAGAAATAATTCTGAAGCATCTCATCTCCATCGCCCTTATTTTCCTTTCAAGATCTGCTGTTAATGTCCAGGATTCGCAGACATACAGGAAAATGGAGAGGACTAATGAGCGCATCAGCCTGATATTGGTGCTGGGGGGGTATATTTTTGTCCTTCCATATTTCTTGAGCCTCTTTATTGCTGTTGTAGTCTGCGCAATCCTGGACACATAAATTTAGGACGTGTTCAAATTGTGCTTCAATTCCTTTTGTATTATAATATTGTCCGGAAAATATTAAAATCATGCGAAAGTTAAGACATTAGTACTCGAGTAGTACTTGATTAGTAATTGATTAGTAATTGATTAGTACTTAATTAGTATATTTATATTCAATTTCAGTTCGTCTTCAATTAACTTCCAAGTACGCCAGACATTAAGGCAACCTTAAGAAAGAAGCCACACTCCTAAAATGGGCAGCGAATATTTACCACAAGATTATCATATCTGGACTGTTCTTGCCATTGCCATACTCTTAGCACCAGTCACTGTTCTGGGTGCTATTAGCAACATCGTCAACATTAGGACACTCATCCCACTTGGGATCTCAGACGGTGTGAACATGTCTCTGCTATCACTGGCCTTGTTCGATCTCTTGTATCTGATTTGTGCGTTGATCAACGCCATCTGTTTGCTGCTCCACTGTGTTGAGGAACTCTCAGGCTACAAAGTGCTGTTCCCCGTTGATCCGGAAGCCATCTACATGGTCATCATCAACGCCGGAAGTGGCTTCTACGCCATCTCAATGCTGGTGACAACGTTCATCACCGTGGTCCGATGTCTGGCCGTGGCCCGCCCTTTACAATACAGAAGTTTGATCTCGTGGCGGACCACGGCCCTCATCATATCAATATTTACCCTTCTGAGCATCACGTCCGCCATTTTAATGATGGCTTTTCTGGGGATTCTCCCCCAATTCGACTCTAAAACCAACACAACAAGACCAACACTGTGGCTCTCACCACAACGCGTGGTCATCAAAGACGTCATTTTTGGAATAAGAGACATGATCTTACCGCTGACGTCTCAAATAATAGTTGGTATTTGCGTGGTCATTATGGCCAGATACCTACGGGAAGCTTCTAATTTTCGTCAAAATATTGCTCGAAATATTTATATGGAAACCATAACAAGTATTTCTACGCGTGCTGATGCCCTTACAAGAAATTTAAAAACTCTAGCTAGCACTCCTGCATCAGCCAAGGTGGTTGTCAAAGAAATTCAAGTCGTTCAACAGATGCTGCTCATAGCCGTAGTCTACAGTTTGTGCAACATGCCAAAAGTTGTCTTCAATATGACACAACTTATTGTACCCGACTTCTACAGGGGCAGACGCTACAGTGCTGTTTATTTAACGTGCAATTTTATAAGAGAATTAATTCAGTCGGTGAACGCCAGCGTGACCATTTTCATTTACTGGAAATATAATTCAAAGTTTAGGAGTCACTTCGTTCGTACCAAATAAGTTGGTCTACGGAGTCACTACATTCGTTATCAAAGAGTCGGTCTACGGAGTCACTACATTCTTTATCAAAGAGTTGGTCTACGGAATCACTACATTCTTTTTCACTGATATAATCTATGGAGTCAATTTATTCTTTACCACCGAATAGCTCTGCGGAATCCCTTTTTCCTCACTGCTTTGTTCTACGGAGTCACTTCATTCTTCCTCAGTGAGTTTGTGAAGCATGACTCAGAAATGGTCTAACGGTTAGAGCAAACAATCCTTAACAATTACCACACTCCCATGTTTTAGCTCGGACAGATTTCCACATACATTCAAATATGTAGACAAAATAATTGTTAATTCAATATTTTCTAACCCACGAATGTTTTAAAATTTATTTAAGGTAATTCCTTTTCAGTGTGTGTCATCTACATGGCGTGCACAAAATTTGAAGTTTACTAGATAAAGTAATCTGTCTGTTTAGGCTTTGTTTTCATGAGTGATCAATTTTCAGAATTTTAAGAAATTTTATAATTCAGAAAGTAACTGAGCAACGGGACGCGTCTCACACAACTAAACCAAACGGAAAAAAGTAATCACTAATGACATTTTGTTCCGTGGTTGTATTCTTCTTATTTAAAAAAAAAAACAATAAAAAATATTGACTATTTGTTTCATTCATGGCCATTTTTTTTTTTTAAATAACCCTGTGATCACTTGCAAACCTAAATAATCATTACAGCAGAAAATACCATTCAATCTTTCAACGTTGATTGATCCACGGCCACCGGGAGCTACGTTCTGAGAACGACGACCATTCACACGCTAAAGTTTTTGACCATCAAGAGACGAGTGGCTGCTTGAAATGTGTTGGAGTGCACGAGTGCTTGTCCTAATGCTGGCCCCCAAGACACCCGACAAGGCATGGCGTAAATGGATCGGACAACAATCGCCTTATCTGACGAGCTGAATTTTCATCTGAGCGACAAAATTAGATCAACTTAATCAACAGCAAACAAACCATCGTTAATGAGCGGTTTTGTGGGAGCTCTTGGTGTTGCGGTGGCTATTGGTGTTTTGGTGGCTCTTGGTGTTTTGGTGGCTCTTGGTGTTTTGGTGGCTCTTGGTGTTGCGGTGGCTATTGGTGTTGCGGTGGTTCTTGGTGTTTTGGTGGCTCTTGGTGTTTTGGTGGCTCTTGGTGTTTTGGTGGCTCTTGGTGTTTTGGTGGCTCTTGGTGTTTTGGTGGCTCTTGGTGTTTTGGTGGCTCTTGGTGTTTTGGTGGCTCTTGGTGTTTTGGTGGCTCTTGGTGTTTTGGTGGCTCTTGGTGTTTTGGTGGCTCTTGGTTTTTTGGTGGTTCTTGGTGTTTTGGTGGCTCTTGGTGTTTTGGTGGCTCTTGGTGTTTTGGTGGCTCTTGGTGTTGCGGTGGCTCTTGGTGTTTTGGTGGCTCTTGGTGTTTTGGTGGCTCTTGGTGTTTTGGTGGCTCTTGGTGTTGCGGTGGCTATTGGTGTTGCGGTGGCTCTTGGTTTTGCGGAGGCTCTTGGTGTTTTTTAGTGGACACTTGTGTTGTGCTAGCCATCCGTGTTGCAGTGGCTATTGGTGTTGCGATGGCTATTGGTGTTGCGGTGGCTATTGGTGTTGCGGTGGCTATTGGTGTCTTGGTGGCCATTGGTGGCTTGGTGGCTATTGGTGTTGCGGTGACTATTGGTGTTGCCATGGCTATTGGTGTTGCGATGGCTATTGGTGTTGCTATCGCTATCTGTGTTGCCATGGCTATTGGTGTTGCTATCGCTATCGGTGTTGCCATGGCTATTGGTGTTGCTATCGCTATCGGTGTTGCCATGGCTATTGGTGTTGCCATTGCTATTGGTGTTGCCATGGCTATTGGTGTTGCGATGGGTATTGGTGTTGCCATGGCTATTGATGTTTTGGTGGCTATTGGTGTTGCGATGGCTATTGGTGTTACGGTGGCTATTTGTTTTGCGATAGCTATTGGTGTTGCGATGGCTATTGATGTTTTGGTGGCTATTGGTGTTGCGATGGTTATTGGTGTTACGGTGGCTATTGGTTTTGCGATGGCTATTGGTGTTGCGATGGCTATTTGTGTTGCCATGGCTATTGATGTTTTGGTGGCTATTGGTGTTGCGATGGCTATTGGTGTTGCGATGGCTATTGGTGTTGCCATGGCTATTGATGTTTTGGTGGCTATTGGTGTTGCGATGGTTATTGGTGTTACGGTGGCTATTGGTTTTGCGATGGCTATTGGTGTTGCGATGGCTATTGGTGTTGCCATGGCTATTGATGTTTTGGTGGCTATTGGTGTTGCGATGGTTATTGGTGTTACGGTGGCTATTGGTGTTGCGATGGTTATTGGTGTTGCCATGGCTATTGTTGTTTCGGTGGCTAGTGGTGTTACGGTGACTATTGGTTTTGCGATGGCTATTGGTGTTGCGATGGCTATTGTTGTTTCGGTGGCTAGTGGTGTTGTGGCTGCTATTTGTGTTGCTATTGCTATTGGTGCTGCGGCTGCTATTTGTGTTGCGGTGGCTATTGATGTCTTGGTGGCTATTGATGTCTTGCTGGCTATTGATGTCTTGCTGGCTATTGATGTCTTGCTGGCTATTGATGTCTTTGTGGATATTGATGTTTTGGAGGCTATTGGTGTTACGGTGGCTATTGATGTCTTGGTGGCTATTGATGTCTTGGTGGTTATTGATGTCTTGCTGGCTATTGATGTCTTGCTGGCTATTGATGTCTTGCTGGCTATTGATGTCTTGGTGGATATTGATGTTTTGGAGGCTATTGGTGTTGCGGTGGCTATTGATGTCTTAGTGGCTATTGATGTCTTGCTGGCTATTGATGTCTTGCTGGCTATTGATGTCTTGGTGGATATTGATGTTTTGGAGGCTATTGGTGTTACGGTGGCTAATTGTGTTGCGATGGCTATTGGTGTTGCCATGGCTATTAGTGTTTACGGTGTATACTGTTGTTGTGGTGGCTTCGATCTTGCAATGTCTTGTGGTGTTGCGGTGACTATTGCTGTCTTGGTGGCTATGGTGTTGCGGTGGGTAATGATGTTGTGGTTGCTACTGATGTTGCCAGATTTTTTTCTTGTTCAACACGACACAAAGAGCTGAACTTTTTATTTAACATAAATCAACATACACTAGCAAGATTTTGAATTGATTAGACCATGCCTAGTGGTGAACAAAGGGCGCCAGGGGGTGGGGGAGGTATACTCCCAGGCGTCATTTTTGTGCAAAAAGGGGGGGGGGCTTTTTCGACCAACTGCAGAGGGTTTTTATTCGTGGAAGGGGTGAGCGAAATCTTTGGCCCGCTCAAGGTGTCAGTAAACCTAGCTTACCACGCTGACCGTAGCAACTCACCATATAGCTGACCATTTAGTCAAACTTCGTCCCTCAAGGTTTGGGTTCATTTCATGAGTACAGCATTGTCTCAGTGACGTCATTTGATACACACGTAGGAATTTCAGTCCATAGTAGATTTACATTTTTAATTAAATTATTGACATTGAGTACATTCATAATAAGCTTCTTAAATGTCACACATAAGACGTTTCTGACTAGATTGTTTACTGGCTTTGTATAGGAGATTTAAAATAAATGTAACTGTTACTTAGGTCACAATCAACATCGTTTTTCGGTTCATATCCCAACAAAGCAAGGTATATTGGATAGTAAATATATATTACTATTAAACAGGACAATCAACAGTTTCCTTCGCTTCATGCAGCAGCAATTAAAGTGTGTATTTAATGAAAGACCTTTTCTACACATTCTATTTAAAACTGTCAGTTTATTTAAATTTCCAAGTAAATAAATACACTTTATTTTTTTTGGGGGGTGGGAAGGAGAGGTCAGGCCCCGCCTGTCATATATATAATTATAAGCCAGTGTTTCCCAAACAATTTGTATAAAGCCCCACCTAAGCCCTGTGTTTCCCAAACGTGTTTGTGCGATGCTACACCTAAGCCAGTATTTACCAACTTTTTTGTACCATGCCCCACCTAAGCCAGTGTTTCATAAAATATTTTGTACCATGCCCCACCTAAGCCAGTGTTTCATAAAATATTTTGTACCATGCCCCACCTAAGCGAGTTTTCACCAACGAATTTGTGCAATGCCCCATCTATGCCAGTGTTTCCCAACCTATTTGTACCACACCCAACCTAAGCAAGTGTTTCCCAACCTATGTGTATCATGCCCGAAATAAACCAGTGTTTCCCAACCTATTTGTACCACGCCCAACCTAAGCCAGTGTTTCCCAACTTATGTGTACCATGCCCGAAATAAGCCAGTGTTTCCCAAACTATGTGTACCATGTCCCACCTAAGCCAGTGTTTCCAACCTATTTGTACCACGCCCCAACTAAGCCAGTGTTTCACAAAATATTTTGTACCATGCCCCACCTAAGCCAGTGTTTCCAACCTATTTGTACCACGCCCCAACTAAGCCAGTGTTTCACAAAATATTTTGTACCATGCCCCACCTAAGCCAGTGTTTCCCAACCTATGTGTACCATGCCCGAAATAAACCAGTGTTTCCCAAACTATTTGTGCCATGCCCCACCTAAACCAGTGTTTCCCAACCTATTTGTACCACGCCCGAAATAAGCCAGTGTTTCCTAACCTATTTGTACCATGCCCCACTAAGCCATTGTTTCCCAAACTATTTGTACCATGCCCCACCTAAGCCAGTGTTTCCTAACCTATTTGTACCATGCCCCACTAAGCCATTGTTTCCCAACCTATTTGTATCATGCCCCACCTAAGCCAGTGTTTCCTAACCTATTTGTACCATGCCCCACCTAAACCATTTTTTTTTGCAACCTATGTGTACCATGCCCGAACTACGCCAGTGTTTCCTAACCTATTTGTACCATGCCACATCTAAGCCAGTGTTTACCAAACTATTTGTACTATGTGCCCCCTAAGCCAGTGTTTCCTAACGTATTTGTACCACGCCCCACCTAAGCGAGTGTTTCCCCACTGCAGTATATACATCATTTTTAATATTAATAAATTGAGTTGTTCACTGAACGTTAACTAAATGATTGGTTTTGGGAAGATCGAAAAAGACTTTAGGAATGAAGAAGTTTGGCGAAGAAATTTTTTTAAGGAAATACAGTACGTAAATTTTCATATGATGGATAAGTGACAGTTCAAGTAAAAAATTAAAGATCATTCTAAAAAAAAAAAAAACAATTTTAATTATTTCGGTTTTTATTCATTATTTAGTAAATTTTAAGATACAATGAAAGATCACAAAAACAGTTTGAGATGACTCATCTAACGGCATCAAATCGACATTCATCTAAACGTGAAGATGGAAACGGAAACAACAGCTGTCTGTCACATTCTTTAGGATTCGGATATTTGATTTCTGCATCCTCATAAAGCCATGCCATCGCTCCTTTCAAAATTAAATGAAGTTATATCAGACTCATCAGTTCGCATTTCATCTTGACATTGCATATTTGAAATATCAGACACAAGCCACTTACATCAGCTGTATCATCCAATTTGGAAAATCAATTTGTTTTCAATAACAACATTTTTTAAAATTCTAAATTAGATAACAATTTTAAAAAAATAAAGAATGTTGACAATAACAAGTATAGTGGTATCAGTCGATTCACATTTTATGAGCCGGTGAATCTTTTCAAAATTTACCAACACTTTCTGACATAATTCATTAAAAGCAATGGAACACAATATGTTCGCGTCTGCGTTGACAAGCGTTTTATTTGCTACTTGGTGTTGGTTATTTTATATACTTAGTTTTTCCAAAGCTATTGGCTAAATTACTCACAAATTATTTACCATCAACTGTTAACAGGTACGTCATATCAGGTTTCTCACTTAAAAATTCACCCAGAGTGTCAAATAGTTCCATCAATCTTTTCAAGCAGTTCCCTTTCAAGGGCCACCTTACTTCAGTGTGAAGTCAAGGTCTCACATGGTCTGCATTGTGTTCTTCACAAAAAAGCTTGGATAGACGCTCACACTTGGCAATAGATTTAATAGCATTGATACACTTTAGAACTGAACTTGGTACTTCATTAAGAACAGGTGAAATATTTTTAGCTACCAAGTTTTTTTTACTATGAATAACACATTGCACAAGAAGCATTCCTGGATACTCATCCTTCATCAGTTTTAAGCAGCCATTTTTCTTGCCCATCATATCATGAGCATCACTTTTCATTGGTGTATTATTGGCATCTAAGTATTTTGTTAGCTTATTTTATATATATCTTTTTTAGTATTGGTGCTTTCTAATGATTTACAGAACAATATTACTTGCCCAAAACCTCCTTTATCAATTATCATACATAAGTCATCTGCATATCGTCGCTGTCTCACAAAGATGATTCATCCATTTTTGCACTGAGATTTTATTTTTCAGCTTTTCAACATGTTGTATTTCAATATCTTCACTCATTTCGTCTATTCTACTGCTAACAGTATTGTTACTGAGTGGCATAGCTTTCACGTCTTTGTCATCTTTTTCCACAACCGTTTTAAGAAATGCTGATAATGATGGTTTGATTAAATTCTCCCCTATGGTATAATTTCCCCCAGATTTAGCAATGAGTCAAGAACATTTATAACTAGCCCCAAGAGTGCGATTGGCTGCAGTATGAACAGAGACTTCTTCTTCTAAATCTTAAGGGCCCACGATCAATTTATTGATCATTTTGGCTCCTATGCATGTTGAGGGGATTTGCAATGTTTCTGTGCCTGGTGATTATGAGGATATTTCACTGATTGCAAGTGCTACCTTGTGAGTGAATTATGCACTTTAAAGTTGCTCTTGTTTCAAACTTGTTCTTTAAAATGAGAAAATTAATTTAAATCTGACTGAATGTGAGCACCATGTTTGGCTTTCAAATGCGCCTCAAGACGGCGTCGTTTCATTGATTCGTTAGCCAAGAATTGTTGTCATAAAAACACACACACAAAAAAAGTTGACCGTTCATCATGGACAGTGGGGTATCATTCCCAATTTCATGGGGTATCATTCCCAATTTCATGGGGTATCATTCCCAATTTCATGGGGTATCATTCCCAATTTCATGGGGTATCATTCCCAATTTCATGGGGTATCATTCCCAATTTCGTGGGGTATCATTCCCAATTTCGTGGGGTATCATTCCCAATTTCGTGGGGTATCATTCCCAATTTCGTGGGGTATCATTCCCAATTTCGTGGGGTATCATTCCCAATTTCGTGGGGTATCATTCCCAATTTCATGGGGTATCATTCCCAATTTCGTGGGGTATCATTCCCAATTTCATGGGGTATCATTCCCAATTTCAATTATTTCTCCGAAGACGGACACATTTCTTCCTTACACTACTCATGTTACTTTGAGGCTGAAGACGATTACGAAGGAAATGAAAATAATAGGAAAAAAAATATTTAAAAAAAAAAAAGGAATACATTAAAAAAAACAAAAAAACAACTCTCTCTTAATATAATTTATGCAAATTAAATTAAATGTTACTACTAAATGTTTATTGAAACTTATTTTCACAAGAAAACAGAAAACGCACCAATTATAATTATACTTTTTTTGCCAACTGAGTCTATTGAATAATTTCCAATGGATTTTTACAACGCTTTTAACGAACACTTATTTTTCATTAATACTCTTAACGATGCACCTCATCATTTAGCTCTCTACTATTGAGTCATTTGGCCTCCTACCAATCATCGTTTCAATCATTTAAAGTCTATTATATTTCTTTTATAACAAGGGGTACCCAAGGACCAGATTTTTGTTTTGGACGTGGCTGGCTGTCACGATTAGTTTCACTGTTACGGGAGTTAATTATGGGTCTTTCTAAATCAGCGAAGATACATTTTTTTTTACATTTCAGCGCTTCACACAAAACAAACCCGGTAGCGTGTTTGTATACAATTTCGTATATCTTCGACGGGCCGAATCCAGCCCGCTGTTCAGACTTTTTGAGTACCCTTGATGTTTAAGATCAACATAAACAGTTTGCGTCTTTCAAATTTCATATGCATTTACACTTACACAATATTTGGATAAATTCTTGAATAATAAAGAGATATCCATAAAGCACTGGGATCGAAAAAATAAGACCGGATCTATTGGTCACTTTGATGAGATCTGTTGGTCACTTTGAGTGGATCTATTGGTCACTTTGATTTGATCTGTTGGTCAATTTGAGTGGATCTATTTGTCACTTTGATGGGATCTGTTGGTCACTTTGATGGGATCTGTTGGTCACTTTGAGTGGATCTATTGATCACTTTGATGGGATCTATTGGTCACTTTGATTAGATCTGTTGGTCAATTTGAGTGGATCTATTGGTCACTTTGATTTGATCTGTTGGTCAATTTGAGTGGATCTATTGGTCACTTTGATGGGATCTGTTGGTCAATTTGAGTGGATCTATTGGCTACTTTGATGGGATCTGTTGGTCAATTTGAGTGGATCTATTGGTCACTTTGATTTGATCTGTTGGTCAATTTGAGTGGATCTATTTGTCACTTTGATGGGATCTGTTGGTCACTTTGATGGGATCTGTTGGTCACTTTGAGTGGATCTATTG